TTGGAATCATAGTAAATCTGCCTCTGAAATCACTAAATGTTTCAGTAATATTTTGTGGTCAGATTTAATAGTTCTGGTGCCTAGAGGTGAAGTATTTTAAGGGTGACAAGACTAGAATATAATGAATGGCTGCATTTATTAGGTATATCATATAGCACTTGAATTCTTCACATATGTCATCTCATTAAATCTGCATCTCATCGAGAAGAGATAGATGTGATTACTTTTTCCATTTGTGAAGTACTGATGAATACTTGAGTCATGAACAGTGGAAGTAAAGAAGGAAAGAAGAGAAGGAAATAAATTGCAAAAACTGAGAACCAAAAGATAAATTGCAGTATGACCTCAAAAAAGAGAAGCGTCAAGCAGATAGCCAGATTTCTAATATAAGACACAGGGTGGATATATGTCCCATCATATGAAAAGATAAAGATTATATGATAAGGAACAAACTCAATGGAGAATAATAATACATTCATTTTGAATCTGAGGGACAAATCTATTTGTATATATATTTGCATACATATATCTAGGTAGGCATGTCATATGCTTCTGAATATCTGAGTTGAAAACAGAAGGAAAATGATAGGAATAGAGATAAATGTTAGTGATGTTAATGGTAGTTTTAACTATGGGAGTGTACAAAATCCCTTACAGGATACATTAAAAGTAATAATAGCCCCAAGAGAACAAGTAGGACCTTGAAGACTCCCATATTGATGGAATAAACAGAAGAACCCACAAAAAGACTAAGCAGAAATCTTGTCAAGGGGATGGAGAAGAAATGCTGGGAACAAGGTTAAAGACTTATGTCAAATGTCTAGACTTCTGAGTACATGCCTAATCATCCAGGTTAAATGTAATAGAGATCCAGTAAGATGTAGACTGAGAATGGTCCATTGGCTTTGGTAATTAGAAAGCAACTGCCCATTTTACTACAGTGGTAGAGCAAAAGCCAGATTTGAGAGGTTGAGAACTACTCATGCAAGAATACAAACTGCAAATACAGATCACTCTACTGAAAAGTATGTTTGTCATGGGAAAAGCATGAATTTCTTTAGTTTCTGAAGCCTGAGAAGGTTTGAGGGTCAAAAGTGAAGGAACTGCTCTCAAAGAAGGAGGAGCTGTGATAAAGGATGGAGAAGAGCCCAAGAGCAGGTTATCTGGGATAAGACAAAGGTCTTGCTACACACAGCAAGGTTGATAGAGTAGAATCCTACTATTTAGAGACTAAGGGGGATGGGCTAAGGGGGTTAAGGAAGAGTATGTGGTCATGTAGCCCTTTCTGCTCTATGACAGAGGTGACAAGGTCATTTGCCCAGTGAAGGTTGGAGATGGATAAGGACTGGAGAAAAGAGGATGTTTGAGAAGACTAAAAACTGTGTGGAAAGACTGTTGTGAGCCATGCTAGAGTCCTTAGGTATGCAAGTAGAAGGATCAATGCCTAGACAGAAATATCTATTGGGAGGATTAAATGAGAAAAAATATGAAACGAACTGTCACAGTGCTTTGCATATTGTTGGTGCTCAACAAATACTAGACCTAGACCTACTCCAGTCTACCAACACAAAAGTGTCACAGGATCTCTGAGACCTATGAAGTGGGACAACACATGATGTTCCTTCCATGGGAAAATGTTGTCATATATGTACATCTGTAGAGATGGATTCACCCACTTATATGCATATACACTCTCTCTACAGCTTTCTTTCATTTCGTTGAAAGCATTATAATGTTAAATGGTAGGATGGGAAAAATAATACCTTTCTAAATGATGGAGCTAAAATAAATATGGATTTAAGTAGATTATTTTAAATAATTTCAGTAATAGCTATTATTAATCGGAAATATGGACTTTTCATTAGGAATTTCAAAAAGGTAAAAACTGATAGGAAACATTGATATGAATGGGTTGAAGACAGCCACTTTTAATACCTCAAAACTAGTTCCAGGGGGTGCCTGGGTGGGCTCAGTTAAGCGGCCAACTTCAGCTCATGTCGCAATCTCGCAGTTCATGAGTTCAAGCCCTGCATCGGGCTCTGTGCTGACAGCACGGAGCCTGCAGCCTGCTTTGGATTCTGTGTCTCCCTCTCTCTCTGACACTCCCCCCGCACATACTCTGTCTCTCTCTCTTTCTCAAAAAAAACATAAAACATTAAAAAAAAAAAAAACCTCGTTCTTTTTGATGACTTTAGAACTTTAAGAGATTATAAAAATGACCCTACTTGTACCTCTTTCCTGCAATTAGCAGGGACACTGGGCTATTGCTACTTCTCCAGATAAATGCTTGTCATTTCCTTCTTTCTCCATGCCACCCATAAAAAACAAGATTTAGGGGTGCCTGGCTGGCTCAGTCTGTAGAGCATGTGACTCTTGATCTCAGGGTTGTGAGTTCAAGCCCCATGTTGGGTGCAGAGATTACTTAAAAAAATATTTTTAAAAACAAGATTTGTTTCTATATTACTGTATTTATTACTAGGAATTTTATGGTTTGTTTTCTTCAAAGTGGCTTATATCCCAAAGATTAGATTTTTATATGCTTAACTCTACTATTCTTTGTCCCAAATTCTAATAGAATATTATTTATTAAACTTAAAAAACATCTATTTTTTCCTTTTCATTAATCAAGTCCACCGCTTAACAACAGAATGTACACTATTCAGGCTATGTATTTTATTCAATCTGCTACTATCCTGAGTTAGAATATTCTGTTTTTGTAAACTTAATTTATTTAAATGTATGCTGAAGGTTGCTGAAACAGAAACCTGGGCTACAAGCTCTACAAAGCAAACTGCCTAGAAAATCAAGTTAGACAGGAACTACAATATGCAAATTACATTTTAAAACTTTTCTGCATGATCTTTTAAAAAATTTACAGTTCTATTTTTCTTAATTCTCACAATATCTTCTTACTCAAATACACAGTTAACAATTATATGAGAGAAATATATTAGCCTTTGAAAATTATCTAAGTGAAAGATTTTTAAATATAGATAACTTCATACTTATTTATAATTAAACAGCATTTTAATATGCCAATTTTCATCATTTTTCCCAAAGGAATTGATGCTCAACAGTGTTGAGTGAATGGCTGAATAAGTGAATTGTTTGGGCTGGGAATCCTAGCTGGGCTTATAATACACAGTTTTATCCAGTTATCTCAAAGGGGTAAAAAATTATCCTAATAAATTCTCCACTTAAAAATTTAATAGCACAGGGGCACCTGGGTGGCTCATTTGGTTAAGCGTCTGATTCTTGATTTCAGTTCAGGTCATGATCTCAAGGTTAGTGAGTTCGAGATCCACATCAGGCTCTGCACTGACAACACAAAGCGTGCTTGGGATTCTTGCTCTCTACCTCTGTCTCTCTCTCTCTAAAAATAAATGAGCACTTAAAAACATTTAAATTTTTTTTTCAACGTTTTTTATTTATTTTTGGGACAGAGAGAGACAGAGCATGAACGGGGGAGGGGCAGAGAGAGAGGGAGACACAGAATCGGAAACAGGCTCCAGGCTCTGAGCCATCAGCCCAGAGCCCGACGCGGGGCTCGAACTCACGGATCGCGAGATCGTGACCTGGCCGAAGTCAGCCGCTTAACCGACTGTGCCACCCAGGCGCCCCGAGCACTTAAAAATATTTAATAGTACATTGAAAAGATTAAAAAGACAAAAATTTCACTTAAGAGCTGTCACCAGCTTGACAGCTAATAAGTCAAACATGCCCTCACAGTTATTGCATAAACTCAAGCTTTTCTGTTTATTTTTTATTATTTTGAATGTTTAGATAGGGCACATACTCTCCAGTCTATGGTAGGCTCCATCATCCCTCTTGTCTGAGACAAGACCTAATTAATAAATCCTTGTTATCTGCTTGGCCACTTAGCATTTGAATCTGGGATCTTAGATCTCCTAGGAAGGCAAAATGAACAGATGATCTTGTGACATTATGATGTGTAACCACCTTTTGGATTTAGAAACATTTTATAGTTAACACAAAGCCACAGGAGGGGTGCCTGGGTGGCTCAGTTGTTTGAGTGTCTGACTTTGGCTCAGGTCATGATCTCATGGTTCGTGGGTTTGAGCCCCGCATTGGGCTCTGCACTGACAGTGAGGAGCCTACTTGGGATTCTCTCTCTCTCTCTCTCTCTCTCTCTCTGCCCCTGCCCCATCTGCATGCACTCTCTCTCTCTAAATAAATAAACTTAAAAAAAAAAGCCACAGGAAAGGAAAAAAGGAAAATTTAACAAAACCTAAGTTAGCAACAATATAAAGTAGAATCCATGACACTGGAGTCATGATACATTGTAGGAATAGCCCTAGTAAAGAAATTATAATCCTATTATTATCTACCATCTTGGAAAGAAGTGAAAAGAAACCTAATTTTGGATAGTTTAAGTTGCTTAGTCACACTGTTTACATCTTATTGCTTGTATTTAATAATGTAAATTTATTAATAGTCTATTAAATCTGGGTTGGTCCTTCATAATTAGAATAACAGAATAAAAGGGGATCAGGACACCAAGAATAAGTATTCAACTACTAAACGTCCTAGTCCAGATCAAAGATAAATTACTCATAAATAACACCTGTTCTCCTCTGATATGCCTTTGCCACCAATATCTCTCCTATCCTTAAAAGCTAACCTGAGCCTTGACTCCAGCACAACTGCTACAACCTAGTACACTGTCAAAGCAAGAGCTCGCCTTTCTCAAAGTGTACTTACTATCTGTATCGGACAACCACTCCTTAACAAAGAGTAACAACAGGTCTACAAATTTCAGTATCAGCAATTTAGCACTTAAATTCAGTACATAACTTAGATTACTGTATTAGAGTATGTTGGTTATTTATAATGCAAAATATTCAATACCATATATATACAATGAACCATCTCTTCAATTATATTATGAACATCCTATTAGTAGAGATAATCTCTGAATTTTAGTCTTTCACAGCTCCTGGGACAGAACAAAATATTGCAGTCCCCATGGTACTGATTACCTGTTTTATTTGCAGGTTGAATTCCTTGAGGCTGAGTCAATTTAGTTTGAGTTTCTGGAATCCGAGGAATGTAGATTTTCTTGGGGATATCAAAATGTTCTGGAAGGCTCAGTTCTGCTGTGTATGAAATGGACTTAGGCTTCTTCCACTTTGAGGTAGTACAGAGAACACAAGTCTGCAAATAAACAATCATTGGAATGTAATTCTCTTAGCCTTTACCTCCAAAACACACACAAAAAAGCATTTTATACTTAGACCCCTTATTTGTGAAAAAAAAAAATCCACCAACGGATTAATTAGTTCATTTCTTTAGACACAGTATTATTTAAATGGTGGAAGAGAACACTAACATGTTTTATACAATCAATGGAATCATCCTTTATTAAGACATGCTCAATGCCCCTTGCTGTAATCCTTTCGGTATTGAATTCGTTGCTACAGGGAAAAACCAATTCCACTGGTGAATGGCATTGAAAAAGTACTTTCTTCCTTGAGTTGATCCCTGTGCTGCTTAAAATCTAACCCATCAGTTCTAGTTCTTATGAGAACTACAGTTAGGGGTGCCTGGGTGACTCAGTTGGTTGAGGGTCTGACTCTTGATTCTGGCTCATGGTTGTGAGATCCTGACCCCTGTTGGGCTCCCTGCTGGGTGTGGGGCCTGCTTGGGGTTCTCCCTCTCCCACTTCTTCTGTCCCTCCCCTGCTCATTCTCTCTCTCTCTCTCTCTCTCTCTTTCTCAAGAAAAAAAAAGAAAGAAAAAAAACATGATCCCCTCTCTTTTGCTAATGACAATTTTGTAAGTATATGTGCATGTACATATACATATATGTATATTAGGTCCTGCCCCTCCATAGACACCCAAACCTACCTTTTTTTCTTTCTCCCTCTCCCATTCCAAACATACATTTTACACATGTTTGATATTTTTAGTCCCTTCAGCCACTTCTTATATAATGGGGGTGACAACAACTCACCATCATGCATATGATCCTCAAAACACAATCTAGTTCAATACTGTCCTTCCTAAAATGGAACACTGAAGAGAAAGCTGGCTCTCTAGGTGTGAACCAAGCAATGCAAAGCACAGAGGTAGGTGATCATTTATTTTTATTTGGATGCTCTACTACTAACATAGCACAACCCAATGGTTAGACCACGCACGCTTAAAGGCAGAGTGACCTGCATTTATAACCCAACTCTAAATAAGTTTGGTCAGGCTATAACCAAAGCCACAAAGCCCTCATTTGTAAAATATGGGCAATAAAAGTACACACTGCCTATCCCTGGTGTGAATATTTAAAATGAAAACAAAATCCAGGTCCTTGGAACATATTTTGGGTACTCAGTAAATGTTCGCTATTAGTAGCATCACTGTCATCATCATTATCATGATCCTGGTCAGAGTATCATTACTCGACAAAAATAAATGTTAGTGCCATCAGCAATCTTCTTCATTCACCGGGTTTGTTATCTAGAAACTCCACAGGAATTTTTTTTTTCTACAAAGTGACATTTTTCAACTACTTTATTTTGGAAACTAAAATCACGTCAATTAAAAAACAAATTAATTCATTTACATTTATCATTGTTGGTGTTTGGTTCATTTTTCGAGTCACTGTGAACAAATTATTCACATCAGCAATTAGCTCTTTAATCTAAATGTATATCATCTGCCTTCTATATCTTTAAGTCATTGAGTCATGGTATATTGACATAGACTCTCTTCTTGGCCAAACTCTAATCAGAGTCCTCCAAGCCCTTTACTCAGTAGGCCTCAACCTTGGCCTACAATAACTGCAGACTTTCAGTACAAATGATTTTTTTCTGCCTATCCCCTTCCCTCCCACACGCGCATGCGCGCGCGCGCGCACACACACACACACACACACACACACACACACACGTAGACTTGAACAAGCACTGACATAGTTTCTAACAATTCAAGGCCATAACCCTTGGATGATCCCACTTCCCCTTAAACTGCCTACCTCGGGCGCCTGGGTGGCTCAGTCGGTTAAAAGTCCGACTTCGGCTCAGGTCATGATCTCACGGTTCGTGAGTTTGAGCCCCGCATCGGGCTCTGTGCTGACAGCTCAGAGCCTGGAGCCTGCTTCAGATTCTGTGTCTCACTCTCTCTCTGACCCTCCCCTGTTCATGCTCTGTCTCTCTCTGTCTCAAAAATAAATAAACATTAAAAAAATAAAATTAAAAAAAAACTGCCTACCTGAAGGAGCTCAATGCTGCCACCAGAATATACTGTTTGTTCCAGCCAAAACCTGGTGATAGGTAGGTACACCCTGAACCCCCTTTAGAACAGTTACTTTAAAAAGCTTGCTATTATAAATCCTTTCTTCCTCCTCCACCCATTGCACTGTCTCCATTTTTCTCTCTCCTTTTTGAGATAAGTTTTCTACCACCTAGAACTGTCTTTTCAAGGTCCTCAGAATGCAATCAAGGAAACAGTAATCACAGCCAGGTAGGTACCTCATTCTAATTTGTACCACTGTCTCCAGTTATAAAGACCCTAGAAGTTCATTTCTCCTGCAGATAAGCATCAATGAACAAATCCAGATCACAGTGACCAACCCCCTCCCACTTATAAATGTCCACTTCCCTGATTCTGCTCATTATTATTAAGTTCCCAGCTTCCTTCGTTAGTTTCTCACCCTCCCTTTAAAACTCTCAGTTTCTTCTGTACAAATTTAAGTTCAGTTCATGCTGGGTCCTTCTCCCTGTTTCAACAGTTAATGAATAAAGTCTCTCCTTACTGCTATAACTAGTATCTAGCTTTGTTTATCTTTGACAGTATCAATAGGATTACTTCATGATTATAGTGCACTTAAATTATACAAATACAAAAACCATTGCCTTTACCTTTCTGAATTCTCACCAAGCAGATCTTTTAGATTTCCTTTTTTTTTTTTAAATGCTTATTTATTTTGAGAGAGAGGGAGAGAAAGAGAAAGAGAGAGAGCACACAAGCGGGGAAGGGGCAGAGAGAGAGAGAGAGAGAGAGAGAGAGAGAGAGAATTCCAAGCAGGCTCCACAGAGCCTGACATGGGGCTCAATCCCATGAAGCATGAGATCATGACCTGAACTGAAATCAAGAGTCAGACACTCAACTGACTGAGCCACCAGGCACCCAGATTTCCTTTTTTAAACATATTATTAAATTCTAAATTTCAATGATTTTTTTCTACCATTTATCCCAGGGTATATGGCATGGCTTTTAAAACATGAACTTGAGAAAATACAAGGAAACTACCCTGTAAGTTTTCTTTCCAGTGTTTCTGAATATATCATTAGAGTTGATTTAGTAATGACCAATAGAATATGAATTCAATAAATGAATGCTAAGTGGTGAAATGGCAGAAATTCATGGTCCTGACAAAAGATCCTGTCTCTCACAGTATATAAAGTAGATATATCAATTTGCTATTACTCTATAAATATTTCAAAAATTCAAATTCCACATGGTTGTATACCAAAAAAAAAAAAATTAGATATGCCACTTTTCTTTGGTAGAAGAGGAATTACATTTATTCAATTAGATTTAGTTCTAAACAGATTTATACCAAGATTGATTTTAGATTTTGTTATGCGATTATTTTATGCTATAACAGCGCATTCTAGACTTTTATTTCATTAGTCAATTTCATTGACTAATGAAGTGAATATATCATTTGGACACTATACAGGGGAAGGAAAAGAATAATGGACTAGGGGGTAAAAACCTGGGTTCATTTCTATTCCGTCACAAATCAGTGGTGTGACCTTAGGTTACCATCTTACTACTTCAGATGCTTGGTTTGCAGGTTTGTAAGAGGTTGGACTATGTGTCTCTGAGTGTCTTGATTTCTTTTCTCAGCTTTAAAATACAACAATGTCTCTACCATGATCTGGGCTGTAATTGCTACCCTGTCAGTGAGGGCAACATAAGTCTTTTCTTTTTTTTTTTTTTTTTTGTTTATGCCTCAGTCATTTCTTTTTTTGTATTAAAGAGGAACTCTACCTCCTTTATGTTTCTGCATGGGGTCACTGAAATAATTTGCAAAGTGCACATAAAAGCATGTTGGAAAAAAGGTGTGAAACACTATATAAGGAGAGAGTCTTTTTAAAATTAATCTTGTTTACTGTTCCGCTGTAAAACTTATTAGCATTATTATGGTTCAAGAGTGCACTGATAATTGCACTTGAAAAGAACCCTTTATGATTAGATGTGGATTAACAGAATAAGATGCATCTGTGAGTTCTGATTTGCCGCAGCTGGTTTTCTTAAACTGGCACGTTCAACCCTTCTCTACTTATTTTGTGCATCTGGTAAGTTTTGGCTGAAATCAAAGATGTGTGATATTCACAGAATTCAAAGAAAATAGTAATCTTCAGGTAAAAAAAAACTTTTAATTTTTAAATTTAGAGGCTATTTAAAACATTTCAATTTCAATTTTAAAAAAGGCAAGGGTTTTTCATAAATTATCATTATGTTGTTGTTATTTCCAGCAACCAATTGGGAGACGTACACACACACAGATGCCTATCCTGCAAATGTGGTTAAGTAGACAAGGGTAAGTACACAAGATGGCTCGGACTGTGAAAAATCAGTCTATGAGGCAACCTGGATAGATATGAAAACCTCAGGTTTAAAACGTTATTTGTTTGTTCAAGCACATATTCAATTCAATTAAACAATGGCAGAGCATGTCTCATGCACACGACAATTAGGGGTAAATAAAAACACATCATAACGATTTTTAGATTTCTAGGAATCCACAATCCTAGAGAAACAGGTAAATATAAAAATATATACTATACAAAACATAATTTGACAAATACAATAATAAACACAAAATGTCTGCTGGATTACAGAGATGACTAAAAGAAGAGGGAGAAAAATAGAAACTATATACATGCATAAATAGTAGAAAGGGGATCCACCGACAAAATCCATCTCCCTCCAGCATTTCTCATTTAAATAAAATGTTTTGTTAAGAGGTAAGAATGCTGAAAATAAATTTAAAAGGAAAGAGAGAGTGAGAGAACATACTGTGATAGGGTTAAAATTTGAAATGGCCACATATCAAGCATTTCTATTGTAATACTGTACTGCAAGTTGAACAAAACCTTCCCAAATTCACTGCTCTTTCACAGAAGTAAGCATGTTGGTATGAGCTAAATAGAGACAACAGCTTCGTGAATGGAGTCCGTAAATGGGTCAGTCCAGAGGGTGTGAGAACCTCAGGCCTTGATATTTTTGAGCTAATCAGAACTTAAAAGTTCAGGTCAACCCTAAAATACCATCAGTAAATGTTGGAGATCTGTGCTTATGCCGTACTGATTCTAGCATTCTGACAAATAAAAAAAGAAATCCTACAATGCCAAGTATTTTGTTGTAATATATGCAAATGAAGGTAATTCTCAAGCAAGGATGAAAACATTTACCATTTATTCCTTCACTGATGGAAGATTTAGTGACTACCTTTGGCACAGCACACTTTTTGAGGCACTGGTGATATGAGAGTTAACTAAACAAATGTCTTTGCACAAATTCCCTTGCTGGAGATAGACAATGAGTAAACAAATAAATAGATTACTGTCAGGTGATAAATGCTATCTATAGAGAAAACTGAAGGAAATGTGGTATTTGGAAAGTGCCTGGTCGATGTAAGCAATACTTTTAAAAAAAATACAAAATAATTTTTTAAAAAATACAAGCATAATCTCATAATACAAGCATAATTCTAGCAGGCCTAAAGTAATTGAGGGAAGTAGCCTGTAATGTCTAGGGAAATTAAACCTCAGAAGTGCAGGGGGCATGGGGAGCATGCCTTGGGCATTTGAACATAGCAAGGAGGCCTATGCTGAGGGAGTGACATGAATGAATGGGCTCCAGTAGAGGTGAGATCAGGGAAGAGGCGGGACTGTCCGGGAGGGTCTTGAGGACTATGCTAAGGATGTTGGGTATTATTCTGAATGAGTTGGAGAGCCAACAGAGGAATGGGTGCAGCAGAACAATGTGATCTGGTTTACATTTTTAAAGAATCGCTTTGTTGCCTCTGTGGAGGTTCGACTGTACCGAACTCCATTTATAAATAGAGTTCAAGATAGAATAACAGAGTCCACAGTAACAGTAATAATAACAAGAACAACAATGCCATACATAGAGCACTTTATATAATAGGTAATGTGGTAAGCATTTTACGTGATTGTCTCACTTAGCTTCCGTCAATTACCACTATCTTCAGATTAAAAGTACAAAAACTGAAGATTGATTTTTAAGGAATCAGCCCACAGTTACACAGGTAGACAGTGTGAGAGTCTGGATTCTCAGCCTGGTAGTCTGACCACAGGGATGACCCTCTCTGGATGCACAGAATATCCTGGACAACTTGTAGAACATGTTCCTTCCCACCCTGCCTTCCCTTACTTTAAGTTCTTCAGGGCATTCTAATGTGTAGTCAGAACAGAGGACAACTGGGAATGAAGCAATTACACCGCAATGCCTAAAATTACTAGTATGTGAAGTCACCAGTAATCTAGTTATTACTACTAAAATTAGCACTCATGCTAACATTAATAGAACACTTTGTTTCAGATTTATTTAATGTGGTTAAAAAAAAAAAAAAAAAAAAAAGCTACCGAGCCATCCTTCTGGGGAAAACCAGCATTCATCATTTCTCTATGTCAAAATGTTATGATTAACAACTCTGTATATTTTTAAAAGGAGGAAAAAAGTGCATCATCTGTCCTCCATTCTCACCTCAATCTTCGTCAGCCCCAGGAGGGCGATGGCCACGCGAACACTACTGCTCTCCAGAGTGCCTGTGATCAACCGTCGCTCATACTCTATATCCGACATCTGCTGCTGTGCTGCAAAAGCCAAGGCCTTCCCCTTGGCTTCATTAGTCAGTGGCAACTTAAGGTCCACATCCAAGACCTGACGGGGCTCACATTTCAAATACAGAACAGGACTGTCCTTACTTAACACTAGGGGAAGCAAAAACATGTAAGGCTTCAATGATCACTTATGCTCTTGACCATGCTATTCAGGATGGACTTGGAAGGTTGGAAATATAAAACTGCAGGTGTGACCTTCATTAACTAGAGTAACACAGGTAACTCATTTTGAGTAGTCCTAATTCAGTAATTCAAGAGTAAATCTTTAGGAATCAAAGATATTTTGCTGGTATCTCTAAAAAGAATGCTCAAAAGAACTCAAAGGGTTCTTTCATAGAAATACCAGCATGTTCAAACATGAAGCGATCATTGTGCTATCAGTGATTGGAAGCTAAGGGAAGTAGAAATAAATGTAAAGACATCTGTCAGAGACTGGCAAAAACTGTCTTTTTCTTCCACTAACAACCTTACACTTTAGAATGGAGGGTACAAATTCAGGGTGCAAGTTCAGGTAATATATTACAATATATACAATTTGGGAGTACAGTGATTTCCAAACTATGCAGGAAACTGAAAATTTGGTGAGTAAATACTTCGAATGCCAAATTTCTATATTTATCCAAAGAATGAAAAAATAAGGATTTAAAAAAAATCACCACTGACATTCATTGTTAAACTGGTGCTCTATCCCATGGACGTTGACATAATAAAGTTAAAAGGAATCCTTTTAAAACCTAATTATTTCTGGAAAAACTTGCTAGGAGTATGCTTGGATGACTATATGAGGAACAGTCCCATCCCTTGACATTTTAAATGAAATAAAACACACGTATACTCTACCTTCCTCTGGAGAACTGCTGTAGTCAAGTGGAGTTGAGGAATCCGTTGGGTGGAAGCTGGAAGGCAATGGGATCGTACCTTTTCCTTCCACAACATAAATTAATTCTCCAATCTAAAATACAACCACACAGTGATATTAAATTCCAAAAGCTCAGAAAAAATTAGGAAAAATCTTTCTGCTGTGAGAAAAATCTGTATACTATAAAAACGTCCATGCATTGTGCATTGCTAAGCAACGTAAGCCCTAAATGAGGGGCGAGAGGTAAGGCTTAAATATTAGTCCTCCCACAGTGTGGGGGAAACTTTGTATGCACCCAGAGCAGTGAGGAGGATTAAGAAGGCACCAGGATAGCACTGACAGCAGTTGATCTTTGTAGCTGTGAATATCCTTGGCAGACTGCTAGCTTAAATCACATAAACAATCAAGGAAGAAAGAAATATTTTTTTCCTTCATTCTGTAATTTATTGTTGGAGGGGAGTGATATCACTTCTGCAGGATGTCTGAGTCCCCAAGTGTCTATATTTTAAAGTGCAAGCTTTCAAAAGGAGCGTATGAGGGTCTGCAGACCTTTTAGAGTAATTAGGCAAGAAATGCAGAAGACTAAATAGAGAGAGTGAAAATAAAAGTGGGGTCAGTGCAGGGGCAGCAACATAATATAAGCAAAGATCTGTAAAGACGGACAGGCTTGGTTTCAACTCTGGTACTGTCACTTACTAGCTACTAAGCCTCAGGCAAGTTTGCCACATCTCTGACTTTCAGTCTCGGCCTCTGTGAAATGGGATGATTAAAAAGAAAAAAAAAACAGTATATTTTAGAAATCTAGAGATTAAAAGAAAAGGAAGAGGAGACAGGGAGTCTCAAGAGACAGCATACAATCCTAGTGGATGAATATTATTTAGATCTTGATTCTGAAGGGAAGCAGAAAATGTCACGCCAGAATGTGTTGCTTTGGTATATGGATAATTTTGAGTTCTAGGCACTTGAAAGATATCAAATGCAAAGAGAGGCTTTCTTTGAACTCACCTTATCTGCATAAAGACAGATCCTCCAGAAAAAATTCAAGTATCATAAATTCCCTTCCTAAGAGTTTCATCAACCAAGGATTAACTCTTATCAGAAGAAGAGACTAGAAGTTGACACTGTACAGTGACAACCTGTCACAAAGTATCATGTCTCCCATCTATTCTTCTAAGGGCCCATTCATCTTTCCTAAAAATCATTTACTCCCCTCTAAGTGGCCAACATCCCTTCTCCCCTTTCCCTATTTAGATGGTATTTAAGCCTGAATTCTAAGCCACCTTGAGGGGTCATTCATTTTTCCTTGGGTATCTCTCATGAATACAGGAGGTATACATGTTAATGTCTATTTTTTTTCTTGTTAATCTATCTTTTATTATAAGAGTCTCAGGCAATAATTCAGAAGGGCGGAAGAAAAATTATTTTTCCTCCCCTACAGTTCAAACAAAGACAAAGAAAGTGACAGAAAAAATGTACAATCATGAGACAATCAGGGAAATATGAACAATGCCTTGTGGTTGGATGTTAAGAAAAAAAATTACAATATATTTAGTAATAATGGTATCATGGTTATGGCAAAAAAACAGAAATCTTTTTGTTACAGAGACACTTTCTGAATTATTTGTGAATAAAATTATGTGATAATTGGGATTTGGGTCATTATAACAATGTAACGTGTTAGGTCCTGCACTGTTGAAGATGAGAGAAAGGTACAGGGGGATTTATTGCAGTTTTATTTCTACAATTGTATTTTATATTTTCCATAATAAAGGCTTTAAAAAAATGCTTACATCTTAAGAAATAGAATGATAGTAAAGATGTGGTAAGGACTCAATGAGGTAACACATATCAGGAATCTAACCCTTTGAGATCACTCTAAATGGAAAGGAACCATTCTTTGAGGGCATAGCTTCCCAAACTTTCATGACATATAAATCACCTGTGAAAATGCAGGTCTGACTCTAGAGATCTGGAGTGGGGTCGAGACCTGACAGGATCAATGAAAATGAGCACTGGCAAATTTAGGGCTAAGCCATACAATGCAGAAGAACCTTCTACCAGAATGGCCTTACAACAGGCATGCAACTAACTATGAAGAAAGCAAAAGAAAACAAACTTAGCTTCCAAGCTGGGACTTGTCACTGGTCCGAACTGCCCTACAATCTTAAAACAATATTAACTGTATGTCTGAGAGACTACTCCAGAGAGAGCGTACATAAATGATATAAAAGAAAACTGATCACATAATAAAAAATACATATTCCAAAATATTGTAAATATCCTAGATAACAAGAGAAATGGCAAACACTGAAAGTGAATCTGGAAACAATATAAGAATAAACCATTTCTGGTTGTGAGGTCAATTTATTTACAGCTTCATTATCCTTCCCCAATTGGGATTTGTTTATAATAAATTAACTATCATTTACTTTCATGTGATAATGTTCCATAGAATTTTATTAATTATGACCCATAATTATCTTCACTTCATGCTGAAAAAAGAAATATGGAAAACTTTGAATGTTTTAAATTGTTTAGCATTTAAATCCATGCACTCCTGGTAATAAACAGTACATTATATGAAATTCTCATAGAGTAATATTTCCTAAGCAACCTTGTACTTTGCAAATATAAATCTAACCTAGCCATCTGAAATGGGTTTTCTGTGTATGCATGTTTTATTCCAAACACAAGTGAGTGGTCAATACTACTGATGAAATTTTCAATGATAATTCAAGTACAAAGGTTCAATAGCGACCAGGAAAAACAATATATTTAGTTTTCACTTTTATTTTACTTTTTTCTCATTTTTATTTTTATCTAAAAAAATCAGTTGTTTTACCCAAAATATAGTATTCATAAGAAATTAGACTCGGTAAGTATAAAGTTATCAGAATTACATGTTTTCTTAAATGTGTGCCTGAATGAAACCTGGTCTCTAGCTGCAGAAAATAACTACCAACTCATGGGTGTTGATCCAAAAGGAGCAAAGTGCTATTTGCTAGAATATTTCCCTTAAATAGAAATGACAGGGGCACCTGGGTGGCTCAGTCGGTTGAGCATCCGACTTCGGCTCAGGTCATGATCTCATGGTTCAAGGGTTCAAGTCCGGCTTCAGGCTCTGTGCTGACAGCTCAGAGCCTGAAGCCTGCTTCAGATTCTGTGTCTCCTCTGTCTCTACCCTTCCCCAATTCGCGTTCTGTCTCTCTCTCTCTCTCTCTCTCAAAAATAAACATTAAAGAAAAAAATGATAAAAAGCCTCCTAGCCATGAAATATCAGTAACTAAAACTCCATTCAATTCCATTTAATGCCACATCTTATTCAGACGATACATTATCATTTCTCAAAAACTATTTTGTCTAACTTGTTCACTTTCAGTGTTCTTTATTAAAAAGTTACTTAATACAATTGCAAATAATGCCTGTGTCAGAAAATTGTTCAGGAAAATCAACTGCGGTATTGTCTAATTATTCACTCTACTCTTCTGGCAATAAAATCAGACCAGGAAAGGAATACAAATACAATAAACAACTCCTTTAAAGTGGAGAAGCCCTTTACATTCCAAGTCTGGAGGCTGTGACAAGGGAAATGAAATGATCTGACACATAACAGACACGTATCAATGTGAGCTATTCTAGGAGTCTATTAAATTTCCTTTCTGCCCTTAATTTCATATTTTGCAGTCAGGATGTTTACTTAGATTTTTATTATATTTTCCAGAAGGATGCCAAAACCCATTGTCCACTGTGAGAAACCCTCACAAAAGACATTTTGTTCTTCTTGTGTATCTAGTTAAATGTAGTCCTCAAATAACACAGTTGCATGCAAATTTACAAGACCAGCTGTTAATGACCTAGAAATGAGGAACACAAACAATGAATTGGCAGAAAAGTTTTAATCCCAGCTCTGCTACTAATTAGCTGGGTAACCTTGGACAAGTCATGGGTGCCCTCCAGACCCAAACAACCTTAATCTTTAGAGAAAAAATAAAAAGCATTTTATACAGAAAACCCCCATGTTGTTTCACAGGTCTTAAAATTCTACTTATTCTCTAATCTTGGGCCTAGATTTTGCTAGGTTTTATAATTTGTTTGAACTGGCTGAACAATGTTATTTTGATGACTAAACAGGCACATGAGAGCTAAATTAAAACTCTAAAATGTTAGATTCATACACTAGAGAACATTTATCATTGTAGGTGGCTCTTTGACATTACCATAATTATAATGTGAAACTGACTAGTAAGAATAATCACTGTTCTTTTAAAATACTATTCTTCATAGAATGATTGTTCTAGGAGACTGATTAAGGGTAAAAAGAAAATGTATAAAGAGATCTGTATGCTTGCACTAAAAAGCACAACTTTCTTAAAACAATTTCAACACAGTCTTAATTATATGCTTGAGTGATTATTTCCGACATTTTGAGAAAGCAACATATATTTACAGGGCACAAAATATGAATTGTTTAATAAAAATATATGGTATATTGTACAAAAACATCTTGTCAAATAATAGGAAGCTGGGCCTAGACTCTAGAAATTATGGAAGCAATGGGATTGACAATCACTCTTTGTCTTTATCACTGTCTTTCTCAGAATAGTTTCTATTGCTGTTCATTTATTTGCTATCAATTGTTCTGTAAGTAAATGAAAATTTGTTTCCCTTCAACTGCGAACATCATGCAAACTGTCATTAAGATTAATCTTTTTTGGGGCGCCTGGGTGGCGCAGTCGGTTGAGCGTCCGACTTCAGCCAGGTCACGATCTCGCGGTCCGTGAGTTCGAGCCCCGCGTCGGGCTCTGGGCTGATGGCTCGGAGCCTGGAGCCTGTTTCCGATTCTGTGTCTCCCTCTCTCTCTGCCCCTCCCCCGTTCATGCTCTGTCTCTCTCTGTCCCAAAAATAAATAAACGTTGAAAAAAAAATTAAAAAAAAAAAAAAGATTAATATTTTTTAATATTAAAAAAATTTTTAAATTTTATTTTAAAGAGAGTGTGTGTGTGTGTGTGTGTGTGTGCGCGTGTGAGAGAGAGTGGGGTCTCAAGAGAGGCAGGGGGGGGAGAGAGAGAAAGAAAGAAAGTGAGAGAGAATAC